GGTTCCCAAAGCCCGAGTCACAGCCCGTGATGAAGACATACTTGTCTTGGAGATGGCTCACCACCTGCCTCTCACGGTACCAGCGCAGGAGGGTCCACAGGCCCACTAGAGCCACCAGGTAGAGCCACATGGCTTGCAGAAAATAAGCCAAGAGCAAGATACTCTTGAGTCAAAATGCGCCTGACATCAACTCGCACAGGAAGAAGTAGGAAAGGAGGACTATGGACTTCTCTCAAGCAGTCCACACGTTCCTCTCTGGCCACGGTATTTCTGGAACATTTAATTTGTGCCTGGCCTCTGCTCTTTGAACCTCGTTTGGTGTCCTGATATCAAATGCCCTTTTTTTGCTGCCAAAGAAAACACACTTACTGTTAAGCAACACACCTCTGTTCTCTTATGATCTTTCTTCCAATACTTATGTGAGAATACATGCATGTTTCCTTACATACACCCATTACAGGCAAGTCCCAGGCTCACCTTGGGTCTCTGCATCTTGTACTCCAGTGCTCCAAACCCAGGGGTTTTTAAAAACAGGTGCTGCTGCCAACCAGTACTTGGGCTCAGGACACATTCACAAGAAAATCCTGCTCTGATCTCAGGTTTCCTCCTCAGGTTCCTCAGTCAGAAAATATCCTCAGAAAACAAAGTAGCTCTCTTTGTCTCTAAATCTCCAGGGTAGCTAAAGAGAGGACAGGGCAAGCTGGTGTCTTCCTGGTACAGCAACTGTCTGGGAGGAATGAGGTTCCAACTACAAACAAGAAGTCTGACCCCAAAGGAACAAAAGGTGATGGTGGCTGGGAACCCCAGGCACAAAATGACTCTCTCAGAGTTGATGTGGAGGAAGAAATGACATACCTTCTCAAGATGCCATCCTTGTTAGTTTTGTTGTTGGTGTTGGTTTCTTTGTTAGTTTTTGTCAACTGACACAAGCCAGAATCAAATGGGAAGAACCTAAACTGAGAAAATGCTTCCATTGGATGGCCCATAGTCAAGTCTGGGGTGGCATTTCCTTGATTGTTAATTGTGGAGGAAGGTCTACTCCTCTGTGGGCAGAGCCACCCCTGGACAGGTGGTCCTGAGCAGTGTAAAAATGTGGGCTGAGTTAGCCAAGAGGAACAAATCAGGAAGCAACATCACCCCATGCTCTCTGCTTCAGATTGTGACTCCAGGTTCCTGCCTTGAGTTCCTGCCCTGACTTCCCTTCATGAAGCCTGTCTACTGTAGGGTGAGATAAACCCTTTCCTCCCCATGTTGCTTTCAGCCATGGTGTTTCTGCACAGCAATAGAAGGATATTGAAGACAGACACCCTTCTCTCGGCTCTACAGATTCAACTGGACATAAGGGTAGCAATTTTCCCTTGTAACCACCATGAATGCCCCAGAGTAACCTGAGCCAGGATTTCTTGCATAATTTCCCAGCAAACCTAGTTACACTAAATGTCTACAGATACTCGGAGCTTGGTTCTTGGAACATTCTCGGCTGAGTCTCTGAATCCAGCTGAAATAAACCAGGGACCTTCCAACAAGGACACGGCTACATAACTCCTTACCCACGATTTTCACCACTTTCTAACTCAACTTGCATGGATCAGATAGTCTTGTCTTTCTCAAAGATCAGATTTCTACTCAGGAAGTCCTCCGATGCAGTGCATTTGCTACACAAACTCCGTCTATCTGCCTTTCTTTGTTAGGTCTCACAGCACCTCATGTCTGGTCCTCATTCCCTAGGACTTCATAGTTCTCAAAAGCAGGATGTGGGCGCAGATCATTTTGCCCTGTATCATCCATTTCTGCGGCTTCCTCTGTATGGTCGCATATACAGAATCAAGACGCCTCCTAAGGGTCTAAAATGAGTGGAATCTCAGGGGAACAAGGACCACAACGCCAACAGGTTTCCCGGGAACTTATCCAGACCCAGAGACCCCTAAGAGTCTGCCCACACCTATAGGTGCTGCCCAACATGTGTTACATGTGTAATTAGGAGTTTTCCCCCAAGGGTCCCAACACAGGGCTAGAATCTGAATCCCACAGAACTGTCCATTGAGGACTCCACAAGGAGTACAGGGTGCCAGGTCTCAAGGAGATGGACAAGGGAGGGCAGGAGCTAGAAGGGTTGGAAGAGAGAGAAAAGCCAAAGTTTCAAGGCTCTGAGCAGCTGCCAGACACCTTGAGCCATCAGTTCTCTAAAGGGAAAGTCATGCCATACAAATAGGTAGGCTTTGTCGAACAGCTCAAGTGTGTCTGACCCAACCAGAGTAAGAACAGTGGCATAGACCTCAGCTCCACCACAAGGACTGAGCCTTGCTCTCCAGCAGGGACTTGTGACCTGGAGTCACAAGTGTGACGTGGAGCTGGCCACTCTTCCTTCACAGTGGGTTGGTATCTGCCCCCACTTCTGTTCCTCCTCCTTACCTGCTCCTTACCCTACCTCCCCCTGCTCCTGATCCTTCATGGGTTCCCCGATAAGCACAGATGTTTGGATGCTGGATCCTGGGTCTCAAGAATGTTCAGGAAGGATTGGGGGGAGTGGTCTTGTTGGAGGAGGTGTGTCACTGGGGGTGGTCTTTGAGGTTACAAAAGATTCCCTCCACTCATTAGCTCTGTTCCCTGCTCCTTGACATGTGAGCTCCTATGCTGCTCCAGCGGCCTGTCTCCAGGCCTTTGCTCGCACATCATGGACTTGTTGGAGCCCAAACCCAATTAACTGCTTTCTTTTGAAAGTTGTCTTGCTCATGAATTTCTATCAGAGCAGTGAACAGTAACTGCTACACACCGTACACTTGTTCCAGCATCCTAATTTACCACTGCTACAGAAATAGTTGCTAACCAGAGCAATAGGGACCAAGGGACTTTAAATGATCTTAACAGCCAAGGGGACCTAAAAATCTAGAGTGCTCTGAACCTTACAAAGTGAACACAGGGGCCTCCTTAACAAAGGGAGACTGAAGGTACTTTTTCCTCCCATGAACACACGTCTCTTCAAGTGTGAATTCGCTAGGTCCATTCATTCGTGTCAAAACCCACTCACACCTACTGCTCATTCCTTCCTGGTCCTGACAAGAATATGCACTCCAGTTGCTGTCAAGGGCTTCTAGTAGACCAGTCCCTGGAATTTCCAGATGAAGTCAGTAAGAATAGGAGTCTGGGTGCAACTCCCTCACCTAGAGCCTCAGGGCTGAAGACAAATCCTCAGAGACACCTGCCTGTCCTGTGAGCTTCCCTCAGCCTATCCAACCCTCCAATGAGATTCCTGTACAACCCAACTGACAGTGCCCAGCTGGTCCTCTCCACTGTCCTGGGTCAGGGGCACCTGGTCCCATTTCAGGGCTGAACTTGTGAGTGTCTAAACCCTTCAGCTGTTCTGATGTCTGTGCTGTGGTGCTGAGGCAGAGTCTGAGCAGAGCCATCTACTGGGACAAAGACTCCACAGGAGTCCAACTCAGCCAGGCAGGAAGCACCTATCCAGTGAAGGCCAGGGCAGCTCCAGACCACACTTTCTTCCTCATCCAGGAAGGGGTGGCATGGAGCCTGGAATCAGAGATGTAAAGGTGGGAAACAGGCCCACTGTGCAAGCCTGTTCCACTCCAACCTTCATGCAGCCCCTGCTTAGTCTTACCCAGGGTCCCGGAAATGAAGGAATGTTAGTTTCTGATGACTAAGGATCTAGGGCTGGAGACCTGAGTTTGGGGTTTCTATAAAGTAACTCCTCATACAGGATCGAGTAAGACGTGATTTGGGATTTATTGCAGCACAGTCCTCAGCACAGGGAGTGAGGGAGACAGTTTCTGTGGCATCTGGAGAGTCCCTCACAGGTCCCCTGAGTAGATTCCAGTGTTCGCCCAATGAAGAAATCTGCAAGAGGGGGAGAGGGGGATCCTCCAAGGGTGTGATCGTGGACTTTAACCACATTCTGGGGCTCTTCCTTCTGATCACACTTTGCTCAGTCACACCGAAATGCCCTTGGTCCACTATGCATGGCTAGGACAGTAGATATGTCCTAGGTGCTAGGCCTGCCCCTGACCCTAGTGGAGCCCAGCATGGAGGGCAACAACTTGACTCCTCAGCCATCACTGATGCTCCAGAGAAAGCTTCTCAGGTGGGTTCAGCCCTCCTGATCAGTTTCCTCACAGTCGACAAAGTGGAGAATTGCTATTGGTTCTTCTAAAATGTGATTGTGAGTGAAGGTGTGTGTGTGTGTTGTGTGTTGTGTGTTTTGTGTTCTTAAGGGTGTAGAGAGACTGTTCATCCAAGAACCTCTCCTTCATGCATGCCTTCACTCACAGTCATCCTCCTGGCTCACCTTGGAACAATGCTGACACTGTAGGAGTGACCCACCATACACTGGTCTTGCTCGACTTTCCAAGAGAACCTGGGCTGACCTGAATGAACAACACAGGAGCATTTGGAGATTCTTGGCTCCTTTCCATCTTGGTCATGCTATCAGGGTGCAGTGGAAGCAGCTGAGGGCTCCATCAGAGCACACGCAGGCCACGATGTACCAGCTTGTCTGTACATGTGTCTGTGTGTCTGTCCCTTCTTAGTCCCTCACTTCCCCCAAAGCCCCTTTGGGTTTCAGACCTAAGCCAGAGGATATGCTGTAGTAAAACTAGGTATTCATCATATCGTGATGCACCTCTGTGACATAGTGCTATTCTGTCTAAAACTAACGAAATAGAGTTTAGGCACAGGGACAGCTGGTGAGAGCACTTCTATCTTTGCTAGAGGGCGCAAATTTGATTTGATTCCCAACCCCATGGCTAGGTAACTCACAAGTGCCTATGTCTCCACTTCCAGGGGGTGCAATGATCTGGGTACTCCAACACACATGGAATACAGACTCACATGAAGACAGATTAATAAAAAACAAATCTTTGAAAATAAAATAAGGAAATGATGACCCTGAGATGTGGAAGATCACTTTCTATTTTCAACCATATTGGGAATCATTGTTTAGACACAGCAGTTCCTCCTGTCACTCGATGTCCCCCATGTTGACTCCGAGGGGAGAAAATCAGGCACCTATGGATGTCCCTCTCAATGGCAAGGTTGTACTGAGCCCAGGAACCTTCCTTCTCCTGAGGATCCGTGACCTGACATTCACTACAGAAACATGTGGAGGCTTCACAGAGCTTTGGCAGGCTTCATGGACATCCAGTAGAAGATGGCATCTGTTAGGAAGGTGGGCAGGTAGCTCAGGGGGAGGTAGAAGAGCTTGGCATCCCAGCCAGCTGAGTATCGAGTGCGAGGGTGACAGGAAGTCAGGGCATGCTCCATGCAGTCTGTCACCAAGGTGAGGTCCTCATTGCACTTTTGGTCCAGTGACTTTAAATGTGTCAGATCTATGCAGAATGAGAAATGCTTCAGATGGTGTTTGCCTCCCTTGCCTCCCACGGAGGAACCTTTTCTAGATCCTATGCCTCCCACATCAGAAGCCATGCCCAAGCTCAGCCTGTCCCAGGTCCTGAGGACGGACCACAACCCAGCTTCAAGGAAGAACCATGCACCTCACGTCCTGTGTCTTAGCTCATGGGAAGTTCTGTCTAACCCCGCCTCCCTCGCTGACTCATTCTCAGCTTTGTGATGGTGACAGTTTCAGATGGAACAGAGCTGCATGTTCTGAATGAAAGAACTATGAGACCCCATACCCACTCTCCCCACCCCATTGGTTTAAATGTGCTTTCTTTGATTGGAAAGATAACAGCATTACTACTGGCAACAGGAATGGAGACGAAGGATTCAGGACTAGGTTTGGTTTGGATCCTTGCACCTCACTTACAAGATGCCAGGGACTTCTCTCCATAGATCTCTCTGACCTCTGAGCTGGCCTGGTCCCACAGCATCTTGATACTTGATGGTAGCGTGTCACTCCTGGTCATAGCAGTCTTGAAGCCTCCAGGCTCTATAATAGCCACCTTCACCCCAAAATAGGAGAGCTCCCTCCTGCAAGACAGACAGACATCAGAGACTTCAGAGGACTTTCTGTGAGAAAACTGACAATGAAAGTACAGTCAGGTGCCAACATGAGCCTGAGGTGAGGAGAGGTCATGAGCTTTGGATCTGGGTTGTGCAGCAGACGGGGAAGAGACCAGTGTTGAGGGCATTACCTCTGTGCTTTTGGATGTCACACTTTTGGATATCTGGTGGATGGAGCTCACTGGCCTAAAGCTAGGCATTCTGTCCCGTGACACCATGTAAGACCTCTGTCCATGCACTGCAGACACTGAGGATATTGCCGTGCTTGCTCGAGTCACCTCCTTCTCAGTCACAAGTCTCAGTCTACCCTCATGTATCTCAGGAAGTTCTGAGGACATGTCCCACTTTGTTCCTGCAGCTGTCTTCAGAGAGCAAGGCCCTGCCTGCCACACCCTCCCAAGCACAGCCTTGCAGTTCCCTGCAGCCATGGATGTACCTGCCCCAAATGGCCCTTTCAACATCCCTTAAGGGTTTAATTGGCAACAGCATGAAATACATACTGTCCAGCACCCTCAGGCTCTCCACAAGTCCACCTTAGCCTGCCTGGTGACCCTCCTCCTCCATATCTGGCCTGGCCTGTCCCCCATGGAGAATCCACCTACACATACAGGTTCCAGCTTTCCATGTTTAACCTTTACTCTGCTGCAGCCCAGTCCTGCTACAGGACACTGACAAACAGGTGACAAGCATGGCTGTCACAGCTGACTGGGCTAAGGTAAAGCCACACTTCTGTCCCCTCGATCTCAATCTGTCTGTTGCCATAGTCTTCAGGTGAGGTTCCAAGCCTTTCTCTAATGCTGGGCAGGTTGGTTGTGGACTCTCTAGGGGCCTGACAATTACCTGTATGTTTGAATGACATGTTCATCCCAACTGAAAAACATGTTTAGCACCATACAGCTCAGGGTTCTGGATTCTTGGCCCAAAATACTCACAGAACCAATTCTACCTCAGTAATGTCCCCCATGCCCTCCCTCTTCCATGACAGGACAAGTTGAACTGAACTCAGGTCTCATTCCTGCCCTCTACTAGAGACATGGAAATGACCTTCCCAATGAATGATTCAGGGGGGAGAAGGTGAGAGAGCACCAAACCAGAGAGTGTCCTCTCCACAATGGGATCCTAAAGGCCTTGATTAAATAAAAGCCCTGACAATGCTTCCCTTAGGCCCCCACATCCCTGTCCATTACCTGAGGGAGTCTGAGAAGGCCTCTACACCATACTTGGAGATGCAGTAACCACCACCAAATAAAGACACTCGACCCATGACACTGGAGACATTGACCACACGGCCCCTTGCCTTCCTCACTGAGGGCAGCATGTTCAGAGTCACCTCGATCAGGCCCA